CAACGTTGATAGTCTTTCCCATATGTAAGAGTAGTCACCATGTGTTCGTAAGAGGAAGGCAACGAACACAACAGAATCATCGCTCTGTCTTCATCCTCAATTTCACATCAAGCCGAGCCAGATCAGAAACGATTTGATTGAAGACATTCACGTGTTGCACCAAATCGTGATCGTCCTGCATCTTCAGCCCATACAGCCGCTGCTTCAGATACAGTTTTGTCGTTAAGGATTTGGACATAAACTGACTTTCCAACTTCCTCCAAATTTCGTCTGGAGACGATAGATGCATGACGTGATACATGACCTCGTCCGCCAAGCATAATCGTATGGTTCCTGCCGCTCGCTGCTGCAATTCTTCCCAATCTTCCTCATCCATCGACGCCGGCTTTGTAGGTCGCAAAGCCTTCAAGATCCCTTGCTGCGCCAATAGATCCTTCACCCTCGTTTGCCATAATCCGAAGTTACCCTGACCATCGAATTTCGCGACTTCGAATTTTGCTCCTGACATCTGATACCAATTGTTGACGAAAACGTGTAAAGAAAACGAAAGAACACGAGAATTTTACGAGGTTCGGCAATGTGCTTACGTCCTCGGTGCCTAGGCGGTGCTAGAATTTTATTCAATGATATTTTAGGTCTAGGTTACATCTCTATTTATAATAGAAAACCCTGGTACATAATTACAAAATCAACCCTGTACCGTACCGCGGGGCTACGCCCCCGCACCCCCAACCCACATAATTTGTAACCCCACAACGAGACTTTCTTTGTAAGGACAGTTGATGTTCACTTCGCTCACTCCATCTCCTGTCCTCTTTACTGGTATATTTATGAGCCATACCTAACAGAAAGACTATCCTATCGCAGATAGGGAGTTAGATGAAAGCATGCCCAACCCTTCAAAATATTGCTTTAAAAATGTTGAATATTGTACTTATAGACCTTCAAAAAGACGTAATATCCCCATACATATTGTATGTCCTATTCCTCTATATTAAACATAGAATAAGCCATTAGCTCAAAGCTTAATATGTACAAAGTTTACTAGTCACGATTGATACACTTAACTAATAGCAAACTGATATACAAGCATCTCTCTATCATAGTTTTTAACAACTATTGAGTTCCTTGGAACAACACCAGATAAGCCATGTTCTCTACATACTAATATGTACATCAGAGGAAGTGGGGATGGGAATTTAATTGGGAGGGAAATGAAAATTCATATATGGTTTGATCCTACACAAGACTATCATAACTATGCAATTTTGTGGACCCTTACTGAGATTATGTAAGTGTGATCTAACTTGTTTGTAATTTTAGAAGTAAAATTGATATTGTTAAATTAGATGGATTGACAATAGTATCTAATATTAATAAAAATATCTAATCTTAATTAATATAAACCTTAATAATAAATATTAACATAATGTATAAGTAGATTCATTAGATATAGAGATAAAAAAGTTAAGGAATACACATTTTAGTTTTTATCCTACATTGTCAAGAAATATAACCTAAACACTCCTATATGATTATATAAACTAACCACATTAAGCTCTTCAACTCATGGAATTAATATGTATTAAATTATGATGTTAGTCCCTATAGTTTTATTTTTCAATTTTTTAAAGCATATTTTTTTTAAAATGCTCTTAGGGAATTTGATGTGGTAAGAAAACCTTGGAAGGTGCACCCCTTGAAACGCGCACTTGGTGTCAATGTCAATATTTATCCTGGAAAGCGTGCTTTAGGGGATGCGCCTTTGGCCCACCTAAGTAAAGGCGTGTTTCATATAACGTGCCTTATTATCACTCTGTCAGAAAATGTATTAGATCGATAAAATTTAGGAAAACGATTCTTAACATGTAATATTATGATATTTGGGCGACTTTTGGGTAAAAACTCTTGATAAGACTAATTATGTAAGATGGAGATAATGTTTCATCACCAGTGCTTATGTTGACGTCAATCCCTCTTTCTCATTTGAAAACTTCAATCTCTTCAATCCTTTAGAGACCTGTTTTTTCGAAATTTATCAAGTATGTTGTATGCATGAATGTCACATAGACATTATACTAAGTACCTCACATGAGCCAACGAGGTTAACACAAATGGTGAGGATTTAGGAATTTGATCTTGTAAGGTCAAATTCGAATCATATCACTGTCACTCTGGGTGGACAGAGTGTAAATTCTTATGTAAATCTCAATTGAGTTTGATGTATGTCCTTACCCTGGACTGGGAGAGACCCCTAGCCTAAACTTTTATTTCTCAAAAAAAAAAATCACACATGACCGTATAACAAGTGAATGCCACACATATCGTATAGTAAGTTAGTGCCACACCTAACTTAGGGATAGGTATTGGGTGGGACGAGACGATTTTTTGGCTGGTCCGATCTTGTCACGTTCCGTCTCAATAATTTTTAGTTTTTCTTCCATTATAAATGTGTCCTGATTTTCAAACTAAAACTCTGATTTTAACTCAACCCGACTCAAATATATTAATATTTTAAAATAATTAAAATAATATATTTTATAATAATATATTTATAATCACTTATTGTATTTTTTAATTGTTAAAATAATATATTTTTATAATAATTTACTATAATTTAATAATTAAATAATATATTTTAATAGTATAAAAATAAAAACGTTTAAAGTATTAAATTATATATATAAGGGTTTATATTGGGTCGGATCTATAATTTTTCACCTTAAATCTAGTTTTTCCCGTCCCCAACCCCAAATTAAAAACAAAACCCACCCTTATAGGGTGGGTCGGAACCAGTTAAAATATTCTCTTATTCAACTAAGTTATGAATAGCATGCTTTAGTCATCTCATCTTTACACAATACTTATTAAGCATTACGAATGATTTCGAGTGTTTCTTGTAACACTCAATACTGTTTAGACGAAAATCAGATCAAAGATGTTATTGAAACTTAAATCAAAATCAGATGTTCTTAAATTATACATGAAATCAAATCATCAAAGTTTCACGTCATATTACTGTGTTTGTTACATGGTAATCAAATCCTAGTTAATTCCATACTCAGACATTGTTTTTCAAAATTTTAAAAGTCAGGGACCTATATATAAATATAGGAATTCATAAATTTAAGAACTTATTACCTTTAACTTAGTGAGTCACTTAAAGTATGATTAGCATGTAGACATAATTAAATCATTATTCTCGTTAAGTATTATCAATTTATAACTTAGCTTAACAATAGGAATCATATTAAATTTTATTTAAAATTCAAGAATCAAGCGACACATGTTAAAATCATAAGAAGAATTTCTTAACCATGCATTAGAAATAAAATATCATCATATTTCACGTGGCGATTATCACTATTCCTAAGCTTTAGGAGACCTCAAATTATATATTGCTTCACTTAACGATTCAATTTAACAATAATTAATATCAAATTGCACTCAACATACACTTGTTAACTCAACAAACAATGTTACATGCCAACCAAACATATTTGAAAATTTACCTATAATATTTATTTAACATTCATCATATAAGTAATTTATTCAATCTTGTGACCTACACAACCATAACAGCCATCTTATTCATGCATATCTCATACTATCAAATTTTCATGCAACTTAACCTATTAAAAAAATAAGTCACATTTACAAATCAAGTAACTTAAAAATCAATGCATTCACCTTATGGGGTCGTTTGGTTCACATAATGTAAAATACCTTTGGGAATAAGATTATTAGAATCTTGTATTACCTTGTATGAGTTGTTTAGCAGGAATGTAAGATTACAGTGTTTGGTTGAATGAATATATGATTACTTGGATGCATATTTTACTAAATTATTCTTATAATATATGTTTTTTTAACAAGTAAAATTTTGTTATTAAATTATAAATATTTGTATGAAAATTCACAGAGATATTTTAATTGTTACACTATCTAACTTTTCAAAATAATACATTTAACATATAAGTAATATAATTAGTATATTAAACTTATATTTTTAAACAATTTTCATAAGTATCATATTTATTTATATAAAATATAATATAATATGAAAAAAATTATGGACTCAGGTGTACAAAGATATTATTGTTAATATATAAAATTCATTTTTTAATAACTCAAAATTAGATATTATTTTAAATAATTACATTTTTATAATAATATCATTTTTAACTCGTAAAATTATAAATGATTAATATATTAAATAATAAAAATATAAAATAATTTTAACTACTAAAATTTATTAATATTTAATTAAATTAAACTATTTGTATATTATTATTATTATGTTTATAATTTTGAGTAAAACACGAAAAATGATAATTGAGAATGATCCATATAAAAAGAATTCATTATTCCAGAGGTATTCTTGTTCAAAGTGGTGGGAATTGTATAATACCTAAAATTTTGAAGGTAATGACATTCCCACCATTTTAACTGAAAAATGTCACTATTGGTAATAAGTTATTATATGGTAATGATATTTTTCGCGAACCAAACGTGAGAATATAATTATGAAAATGATTATTCCCCTTAGTAATAATATTTTTCGCGAACCAAACGCCCCCTAAGATTTCGTAGCCTTATATCAGCATGTATGATCTTACCCATAACCATCATAGAACTTAAGGAACTTCCCCATCAACAATACATCTTCAAAACATATAACCTTTTCAAACTTAAAACTAAGGAGCATAAAACCTTTACAAATTTAATCACGCAACAAAGACATATGTCACCATCTAGGAGTTTAGACAATGAAATTACCCTTAATGTTTTGGAAGTGACTCACAACATCCTAAATACAATCAAAGAGTTATCGAACTTGTTTCCCTGAAATGATGAAACAAAGAGAGTGTAAGCTTGTGTAGCTTAATGAGGTAGTTAACATAACACAACACAAATCAAATGAACATAACTTATTAGCATGTTCTTTATACACTTTTTTTTGAAAGAAAACGAGTCTCATTAAAAACCCCTTCTATGACCTATAAGCGGAAAATAGTTCCCCAGGACCTTGTATTACCAGAAGAAAAATCATTGGATACAACAGATGTAATAATATTGGGACAAACTGAATCAAAATACAAGGCATTTCCAGAACGAAAAACCCACTTAGCCAAAATATGTGCCACGATATTATAATAACTAGTAACAAAACACACTTTGTAATTTAAATTACCATCTAAAATCCTACGAGCTTCCTTAAGATGATAACCCAACGTGGACAAGTCCTCCTCCGGTCGAGACATCTTGTTGACTACAAGTGTTGAATCTGATTCAAAGATTACATACATCCACTGATACTCACTAGCCAAAGAAAGTGTTGCATTCAAAGCATGAATCTTCGAAAGCATAGTTTCAACACAACCTGGTGAAGGTTCATCCATGCCGCCAAGTACCTGGCCAGCGGTATCTCGGGTAATAGCCCCCACAACCGCTATACGCATAGTAGACTCTAAAGCACCATCCAGCTTGATTTTCACAAAACCTGGAGGGGGATGTTGCCGCTTCGTCTGATGAATACATGAAATTACTTTTGGAGAAGACCACACAACCCTCATTCTCCCCGGCACATGCTTCTTGGCCAATAGGTAGTCGTGCTGAAGAAAGACAACATTGATGACTAGTATCTATGGCGGCTAGAACTTGTTATAGTGCACTTTGTAATTCCTGCCATTCCAAAGGTTCCAAAGCAATACAAGAAAGCAAACAAGGCCAACTATATCATGACAAATAATGAACATATATTAACATGAACTTTCATGGTAAGAAATAATATCATAACATGAACTTTCATGGCAGTAACTTATATTACAACAAGCACTTTCATGGCAAGAACTTACATCATAATATGAACTTTCATGGCAATAACTTATATCATAACATGAATTTTCATGACAAGAACTTATCTCATATAAATCATAATTTCTCATATATGACTTTCATGGCAATAACTCATATCATATACTTAGCTTACTTATAAACTTATGATACCAAATAATCATAATAAAATCATATATGATTTTTTTTTTTGCATAGAATCATAATCATATTTATTCATTCACTTGGCCTATTGGCTTTTATAACAATAATTTATATCATATAAAGTCATTATTTAACCCATTAGATTATAAGTAAATATGGATAAACGAATCTCCAACTAAATTATTGTCAAATAACAGAGAATGATTTATCCCTCATAATTGTCGCCAATGGCCAATAACAACATCCTTCCTACTGTTGTCAAATAAGGATCATAATTCAATCCTAATAAGAGCTCAAATATACTCTATGACATGTCAATTGTACCTCAAACTAAACTTATCATCCAACGATAGTACTTATATTATCTTTTCACATGATTTCTTATCTTCGTGTACCAAGTGAGTTGTAGCTATTTATCATTCACATAGTTTCTTATCTAGGCGTACTAAATGAGTCATAGCTCTTTCTCATTCACATAGTTTCTTATCTTGGCATACTAAATGGGTCATAGCTCTTTCTCATTCACATAGTTTTCATCATGCTGTCATAACATATTTTACCTTATTTTTATAGTACGTGTCATAACACATATTTACACCCGTGAAAGTAACACATAATTACACCAATGAACTTTAGCATGTAATTCCAGCACTTTTCACCAGTGAAAGTAGCACATAATTACACCAGTGAACTTTAACACGTAATTTCATCACTGAACTTAACATATATTATACCAATAGACTTATCACATACACCAGTGAAATTTCACATGTATTTACACTAATGAAAGTAACAATATTAACACCAGTAAGCTTAATACATATCATATCATCACCAAACATATGCTTAACATGTTTACCTTGATTCTTAATTTATCATTCATTTCTCTATGTGAGCCCAAAACATGACTTTTGATTTTACCTATCAAATTGTAATAAGGATTAAATCGGATTGACACCAAATCACTCAAACATGCAACTATACTCACTGAATACTCCAGCCCTTCATACGAATCTTGAGAGCTTGATTCTCCCATTCATTTAGGAGCTTTCAAATATATAATTGGATTTGAAAATTAATGATTAGATGACAAAGAATTCAACTAGGAAGACTTTGAAGGTTGAAAGGAGTTTCATAAATGGTGTAGAGAGGAAAAAATGTTGACGATGTAAATTTTTCTCTCTCAAATAATGGTGGCGTGAATAGCTATCCCATTTGGAACAAAATACATTTTATTATAATTAATAAAATGATTACAAATTACCATTTCAGGACACATAGGTGATGAACCAATTTTGGGAAAAATTAAAACTTTGGTCCTTTAACAAAAACATGCACATGAAAGAGCTTCCAACCTTTTCCCACATTGCTAGATACCAATTTCTAGTTTTTTTTCCTTTTTGGTCCTTATACGAAGAATTTTGGAATTAATCCTAATTAGTTTAAGATTTATTTTAAATTTAAAATGATTTATTGGAAAAATTGATTTGAATATCGAAAGAGAAAGAAAACAAATTTTTGATCGTCGAAAGTTGAAAAATTACTATATCAATTTTGGAGGTGATACTGTAATATCCCAAATTTTGGACTAGTGATTGAAATAAAAATTGAAGAAGTTTGGGGATCAAAGTGTAAAGTTGTAAAATTTTAGGAACTAAAATTGTAAATTTTCAAAAGTTATATTTTGAGTTTGTAAATAAGTAGTTCAACCCAAGATAATTAGTTTAGTGGATTTCAGAATTTTGATCTGGAATTTGCATAAAATTTTATTAAAGGACAAAGATTAGTATATTATTCAGATAATTGGATCGAATCGAAAGATTACAAAAAATTTGAAGGAAGATATATTTGGGTTGTAAAAATTATATGGATATTTTTAATTAGTGGAATTTAAGTTGGATTGGTGGAATTTGGTGAGAATTGCACTATAGAGTGAAATAGTGCAATTTAGTGACTAAAATAAAATTTTAGAAAATTAAAGGGTCAAAAAGAAAATTTGAAAGATGAGATCTTTATGGTTATTTAATAATATTAAAATAGAGATAATGGAGTGACATGAGTATAATTTTAGGAAATTATTAATGGTAATTTAGTCTTTTGGCCCAAAATGAATAAAAAAATTGATTTTTAATTGATTTTTAAATGCTAATTATGAAATATTTGGTTAGAAATGTGTAGAAAATTTGCTTTCTCCTCCAGAAAACTGCCGAACCTCCATAGCCAAAGGGTAAGTTTGCTTTTTCTTCAATTTTGGTCCATTTTATTTAGATTTTGGACTAAAGTATAAAATATAAAAATAATCCCCATTAAATTCTCTACAATTTGGTGTAATTATTTCTTGGTTTCATGATTGAATGGTGAAAGTTGTGATTTTGGTGGATGAAGGGGAGTTGAGAATTTGATGAAATTAAGTTTGATTTTGATATTAGGAGTATTGTAGAGTTATAATTAAGCATGAAAGTTGAATAAAAAATGTTGAAGAGATTGGTTTGGTGATTTGGCCATTGATGGATATGTTAGGAACTTGGTTGAATTTGATTGGAATGGATTAAAAATGATGTATTAAGGCTTAAATTGTGATTGAATCAAACTGGAGACCGTTATGGAAATTATTGCAAAGTTTCGGCCAAGGGAGAAAATTTTGTAAAAAAACTCCTATCGGTTTAGATTGAATGTAGGATTAATTCTAGGTACTTGAAATGATGTTTGGAACCAAATTGGAATTTTGTTATACCTTGAGGGACCTTTTCACATAGTATGACAACTTAAAGGGTTAATGTGCAATTATTGAGAAGTTAAGGTTCTATGCTGAAATTTAATATTAGAATAGTAAATTGGACTGATCTGGAAGAGTTTATAAGTCTAGGAACTCAATTGTAAGTTGAAGGAGGTTGGTGGTGAGATGGTGAAGTTGTTAACGACATTTTACAAAGTTTGGAAATTTTAAAGGATTAAGATGCAAGCTTTGGAAAGTTGGGATACAATGCTGGAAATTATAGTTAGATTGTTAGAATATTGAATTTGGATTAATGTGGGAAGTTTCAAAAGATTAAGGGGAGAGAAATTAGTTTCGAATATGTATTGATTGGTTTTTTAGAAAGTTGTTTGAATATAAATGCTTATTATATTAGTTAAAGTGCTAATTCGTATTCAAAATTGTTTATGTTGGGAAATCGATGTCGTGAAGATCATGATCGAAAACAAATACAAAACGAACCAAAAGAAAAGGATTAAGTTCGAGAGTGCAGTGAAGATAGCAATTAAAGCATAACGAGGCAACAAGTGAGTGCAATTAACTTTTTTTTTTTATCAAAAATAACATGAGGGTGACTTGGGACGAGTCAACCTCAATAGATCTGAAAGAAAATATTTTTTAAATCATATTTAGAATAAGTACAATTTACTATTCTTTTATTTCATAGCATTTAAATATTTTTTTGGTATGATCGACCCAAAAACCTAATTTTCATGAGAATAGTTTTATATTCAATTATCTGAATTATTTTTTATGCAAATTAGTATTTGATTTTAAATAAAGTCCATTGTATGAGAATGAGGGTTAGTGGTACAATAGCATGTCATAAGGTGGAGTGAATCCGTATATGTTTCGGATCTGGCACCAAGATGGATCACTTGTGGTCTTACTCGGCGTACCCTAGTGGTGCACGAGGTGGAGTGATTCGGTGCAATCTGTCTGACTCTATATGTATGTTATATGGCATCAAGACGGGTCACTCGTGCTCTAACTCGGCTTATCTTAGTGGTGCACGAGGTGAAGTGACTCGGTGCAATATGTTCTGACAGTAAATTTGTATATAGCGCACTCACTCGTTATCTGACTCGCATACCGCGTATTCTCATGATACTACAATGGGCTATGATCTGAATTGAAATTATTATTTGCTCTAATATAGAAAAGTACAATTTTGCAATAGTTTGATATGAATAAGAAAAGTATGAATTTGAAATGATCTGATTTAGAAGAGAAAGGTACAATGTTACAATGATCTAAAATGAAACAGGAAAGTATAAATTTAAAATGATGTAGTACAGTTTGATTTACATATTTCTATAGTAAATTCTTATTACGAGTTTTAATTTGATGTTTCATATAATGATTTAATAATGTTTTTATACGATATGATTTGTTTTATTTGTTAAAATATTTTATTTTATTTTATTTTATTTGGTTGCCTCGAAAATTTAGGTGTGCATGTTTTACACGTAGGTACAAGAGAACGAGTAAAATAAGGAGTGTATCAGCATCATTTTCGAGAAGTTAGATCTGCCACCAGAATTGGTAAGGACATCCTGATTTGTTATTTTAATTTTTTTGTGGCGTGTACATTAAAGAAGTTTTAGCTACTCTAATATATGTTTTAAATATGATTTTGTAATGTAAAAATCAGTATTGTTAAAAGATAGTAAAATTAATATGGTAAATAGTAGTTTTTACAAATTAAATTTGAATAGTATTTTTATTTCGTATATATAAATTCTACATTACAATTTTCAATGAGATTTATTATTATTATGTTTTTAATTATAATGGTCGATTTTGAATGAACCAAAAGTT